GTTCTTGCCTACCGATCAACCCTTACGAATGTGTGCGTGCGCAGTAAAGTCAGTTAAAATATATTTTGTTAATTAATTTTTCTTCACCATTTGCCTACAATACTAATTCTGAACTTTCTCTGCAAATTTTACTGATTATTGCAAAATAACCATTAAAGAGCCCAGCAAAGAAAGGAGATAGATGTCTAAGATAATGCCACCCATTAAAAAGATTTTCTATAGAATCTCGGAGTCCTGTTCGTGACAACAATCCACGTAAAATGTCGCCTCGTGACGCGTGAGACGCGTCTGACAAAATATGTTTCCGGTAAAAAAAAGAAGTGCCTGTCTAACATGGGGGGAGATGTAACAAATGGTTTCATGTTGTGTAAGGTGAATGATTTGTTTTGTGCCGCTTGGTATTTTTATTCAGACATGTTGTTATTTATTTGTTAAAAATACAGTAAAAAGTAATAGCCTATATACATCTTCTCAGAACTTGAAATCAGGAGTCTCCTAGTCATGTCTTTCAGAACTTGTAAACAAGTGGCTACCTCTGTTCAGTTGTGGGAGATTAGGCTGTTTGATAGGTATGTACTTTAGTTTTTTAAATGTCTCGTTGGTCTAGTGTTCATAAATGTGGTTGCGTGTGTGGTCGTAAATGACGTCCTGGATTCGAATCCCGGATCGGGCCAAAAATCAGTTATTGAGTATATCTGTCAAGAAATTCTCGGTAGCTGCGCGAAGTCGTGAAATTGACGATGTTTTATCCTCGTGTCCCAACCAGAAATAACTGCCTTATATTCGCTGAGGGGGTTATCTGCATGCTGTAATAAAATTTCACATCTAGGTAAAGAGCAATGTGATTATATATCTGAAAGATTTGGATATGTATTAAAAAAAACGTAATTTGATAAAATAAATGGTCTTTGAATATATATTTTTTTAAATAACGCTACATTAATAATAGATCTACCCACGCGAAGCCGGGACGGGTCGCTAGCGAGCAAGAGTGACAACGGATTAGCTTTTTGATTTTCAGTTGAAGATATGGCCCATAGATAATCACTTCTAACAAACAGGTGAACTGTAATCTAGTTTGTAACTCTTATTTTATAAAAAACCTGCCAAGTGCGAGTCGGAGTCGCGCATGAAGCGTTCCGTACCATCGTTAAACACGTTTCTGGTAGGAGAGCACTCTTTAATATTTAATTTATTTTTATGTTTTGTTATAGCGGCCACAGAAATACACATTCTGTGAAAATTTCAACTCTCTACCTATTACGGATCACGAGATACAACCCGCTGACAGACAGACGGACGGACGAACGGACAGTGGAGGCTTAGTAATAGAGTCCCGTTGGTTGCCCTTCGGGTACGGAACCATAAAAACCTGCAACTGTTAAAACTGTAGAATGTCAAAAGTTTTAAAATTATTCCTGACAAAATTCCATCGTTGCCAGCATGAATAAAATGTCTCCCGCTGAATTTTAAACTGCGTCCGCAACAAAATGAATTCCTTACAAAATTCGTGGTATAATTACCTATTCATTTGGCTTAAGCGAGGTATTTACCGGCTCTGAAGCTTCGTTCATAGCTAGAGCGCTTTATTTGAGAATTTCTGGTACCGTCGTCGGCGAATTGTGAAAAGTAAATAAAATGTTCCGCTTACGGAGACCGAAGTTTTAAAAGATGTTAATCTAGACTCTAGAGGAATAAAAGTTGTTGCGGAAAATTATTCTCGCTTGTAGTTATGTATCCAAGTGTTTTTATTTAAAAGCTGCCTTTCTTAATTTCCAGAGCTGGCCTTATCTATAGGCTCCACCCCTAAATAAGCCAATCATCACAACAACTCTTACCTTCTTACTATTTGTATACGTGGTAGAGCCATGCTGCAGCTATATTTGTAATATAGTTGTAGCACAAATGGGTCGGCTCCACCGGAGAAGGACTACGCTCTCACAGAATACCAGCTTAAAATGGCAGTTCGATACTGCTGTGTTTCATATGCTAAATGTAGAGAACCGGAGACCCATTTTACTGGAAACAAGGCATTCCATCTTAGTCCTCACGGGTGACGAGGCATCCGCATTTTGATTCTTTATTGAGGATAGATATAGATGTCTATGGGTCACAGCAACCACTTATCATCAGGTGGACTGTGTGCTCGTTTATCACCCTATCCTATGACAAAAATCTGTTTTGTAATTAATGTACCTGATGGTAATTTCTGATAGAGCCCTAGATTCTAAGCCGGGTTAGTTAGTTAGTCCCGCTGGGTTTCTTGCTGGTTCTTCCCAAGACAGAGGTATTTTCCGAACCAATGGTAAATAAAAAATGACTTTCAATAAGAATTATGTAATAATCAATATTGAATAAAAAAATATTCTATTCTATTCTATTCTATTCAGACGTACTATGACATCTGAGCATCATCATCATATGATGTCAAACAACTATGACGTCTTTAGATTTTTCCGGATAGATGCCGCCTCTTACGGTACCCACGGGACATGTAGTGGATATTCTTACACCGCGACTACTCGATTAATTACATACGGAACCCTGATTCTTCTTCTAAAATAAAAGTATCTTAATTTACTCCTTCAATTTAGGGTTTTAGTTTTATTGCGCGGTACTCTAATTATTTTTCTAAAATAAAAGTAGCCTAAGTTACTCTTTATAACACAGCTATCTGCCAGTGAAAGTCCTGTCAAAATCGGTCCAGCCGTTTCGGAGATTAGCCGGAACAAACATACAGACAGACAGACAGACGGAACAAACAGACAAACAAAAATGTTAAATATAGTTTTTTTTGTTATTAGTTCCGTATATACTTTCATATGCATTTAGTAAAAAGCTGTTATTTTAATATTAGAAACAGACATTTCAGTTTTATTTATTTGTATAGACGGGCTCACTCTTGACCTCCATCTGGCCAGAGGTCAAAGATGAGGTCTACGATGGAGCGAGTTTGCCCAGGGGAAGCCTGTTAACACGCACCTTGAAGAGGTGCAGGTTATAGGCATTCGGAAAAACAGACATTCCATTCCTTGGCTGTGCGCATTATAAAAGAGTACTTAAACCGCTTAGTACGTACCTATATTCGGAATGTCAACCAAGTGTAGATGTTAATCTGCAGTAAGTCTGGTACTGCGATAGATGAATGGAGATGGCGGTATGAGCTCATGAAGCTCATAGGCATAGTCTCCGAAGTACAATACATATTATATAAGTATTTATAGAGAGAGCTGTGGTAGCTCAGATGGTGAAACATCACAAAAAACATCGTGAGGAAACCTGCATGTCTAAGAAATAAGAAAAAAACCGGCTAAGTGCGAGTCGGATTCGCGCACTGAGGGTTCCGAACAAATCCGTAGGTATATAAGTATAAAATTATTAAAAATATTTTTATTATATGATGTAACTAAAAATTTATGCTTTTCGCAATTTTTCCTTTATCTGTGCTATAATACGTTGCTTCGTACCAAATTTTAAGATTCTGAGTTCACGGGAACTACCCTGGCGGTTTTGATTCCCTTGCGAATGTCGAAAATTTGCGGCATAAACGGCTGTATCTTTTGATTGCGTTGGTTTAGAAGTTTGATTTTCTCCAAGCTCCAAGGGACAGTAGACTTGAGTATTTGATATGAATTTCAGCTTGATACCTTCACGCGTTCCTGAAATAAAGGTTCTTGACAGACAGACAGACAGACAGACGGACAACAAAGTGATCCTATAAGGGTTCCGTTTTTTCCTTTTGAGGTACAGAACCCTAAAAATATTTCGAAGACATGTGAAGTTCGCCAACACGCATTGGGGCAGCGCGGCGGCCATTTCCTTGCCCTAAAACCTTCTCAGAAATGAGAGGAGGCCTGTGCCCAGCAGTGGGACGTAAATAGGCTGCAACTTTACTTTACTTTACTTTTACATTATAAATATACATATTATAGCTTACCAGCCGTTTTTTGAAGGGCTGAAATAACCACTTACCCCGAGGTGGATTATAAGCTCGTTTGGCACTTCAATTTTATAAAAAGAATTTGCGAGGGTGGGTGGGTATTGTAACGGTGGGTGTTCGGTGTACCTGAGTAGAGGGTGTGTTGTCATTTACACCCGCGACGTAGACCCGACGGTCGCTCGTAAGTATTCCGAATGCGTCGCCACATCGTTCATCATGTCAAATGCTTTTAGAATAGAATAGAATAGAATGATTTCCATTCAATGTATGCAAGAACAACAAGAATACCTTCTTATTGAAAGTTATTTATAAAGTTATTTTTATTACTTAGGTCTTAGGACTTTAAAATAGAAATATAAATTGATATGCTGGAAGAGTTACTTCCAACATATCAATCCGGCTCTTTGGCGCAGTACCGTAAAACGGGGTGACATTGATTAATTTTAAACTTCAAATGGATCCCACGCTTGCAATTTTAACGATAAATGTTAAAATATTTACTGTGGTGAAGACTCATCACGCAAATTAATAATTACAACAAAACAATATAAATTTGTAAATAATTATTTAGAAAAAACATAAAAACCTGCTTATCAAAGTTTTATTGATAATGGGGCTACTTTAATATGGCACTTTTATTTTATTTCATCGCAAAGTGACCCCGATACATGACAAAAATCAATAAGAAAAAATAATTTAGAAACTATGGTTTAGAAAATATTGCGTTTTGAACATTTTTGGGGCTACTTTGTGAGTCACGGGGTGAGTTTGATATGTGGGTATATTACAGTGTAAACAACCGAAATAAGCCAAATATTTTTTATTATGATTTACGAAAATTAAGTAACAGTAACCTAACATTAATCAGTCTTAACATTTACTTTCGAGATTCATAATTTTATCACTTAAATCTATTACAACAGTCTTATAATTATATAAACTTGTTTTATAAAATAAAAAACTTATAAATCCGTTGTCGAACTACTTATTTAACGACTCCCGGCCGACAGTAGGTCTGGACCTTTTCATATTAGTTAATAGTCTTTGACCATAGGAGTGCTTATGGCGCTTCAGGACGCAATGGCCCATTGAAACCAGGCAGGTTATTTGAAAACCATTCTATAATTTTGCCCTGTCGATCTAAATGACCCTTACCGAACATTCGAAGGTCAAATAATGTAAGAGGAAACACCCAATCACCAAATGTAGCCGCAGCACGTAAAATTGCGAATTCCTCTTGATTCGTGGAAACAGGTTGGCCACCAGGCGTTTTTCCGAGTAATCCTTTATATTTATTATAAAGTGTTCCATACGGAATTTTATATTGAATTGAAGCAGCATTAATAGACAATTCGTCGTTGGTGATTTTCTCTATTGCTTCTTCTATTATCTCCTCTGTATATTTTTTGTAATTGCGGGTATCTGCTGTCTTTTTATAGCTGCGAACCATGAGATATCTAAAACAAAACAAAAACTACAGGTTAAATTGATAACGTATACATTACTCCTATAAGATTGGGAACAACCACCATTGGGGTGAAATTGATATAACTATCAAAGTCGCCTCGTATACTCTATCAATGTAGCCCCGGTAAACTAGTGTTCATGCAAAATAAAATGGCGGCCGTAACCAAAAAATGCAAACATGCTCTTAATCTTAAAGAAACGTACAATTAATACAGCGAAATGCTACAAACCAAACAATAATACTTACGGTTGTGCAACTGTAGTTATTCATACAAATATTTTAATGCTATTTTACACTAAAGTTTAACAATTTATATTTGCGTCTGACCACAGCTAATAGTCGACGCTTCGGCAAAACATGGCCGACATGTCAGTCTGGCCAACAGAACAAACAAAATTTTGGTTCAGTATCACGCATTAAATCCGAAAAAACTTACCAAGTTTAGCTATCATCAAATTTATCCCAGTTCGCAAAGTAAACCCGTTTTACGGTACCTTATTAAGGAGTTACAGCGCTAAGAGCCGTGGGTTCGAATCCAGCACGGAACAAATATTTTTATGGCCTACAAAATAAATAATTGTTGGATGTTTGTCCTATTCAAATTTATCTATGGAAACTGCCTCCACGATTTTATACATGGTAGAGCCACGCTGGATCTATAATATGGTTGTAGCACGAATGGGTCGGCTCGACCGGGGAAGGACTATGTTCTCACAGAATACCAGCGTAAAATGACAGCTTAATGCTTCTGTGTTTCGTATGGTGTTTGTAGAGAACCGGAGACCCTTTTCGCTCAAAGCGAGGCATTTCATCTTAGTCCTCAGGGGTGACAAAGCATCTGTAAGCGTCTATGGGCCACAGCATCCACTTACCATGTGTATTCTATAAAAATGTTAACGCATAGAAGAAACTTGAAACCGGAAACTTAAAAGCTTATGGCCAATATAAGCGCTATAAAAGCGGCTTAGAAATAAAACGTGCCTGAAAAAATATGTGCCTGTAGGGAAGGAAGGGTATTTATTACTCATGTCACGTTGAGTGAGCCCCCTCCGAGGGCTGCGTTATGTCTTGTTATGTCAGCTGCTGTTTTACATGATAACGATGCTGTTAGACGGTTGTATACAGAATTGGGAATGTCAAAAATAATATGGAGGTGGATTTAGGTAATGGGATTGCCTTTATATCTTGGTATTGTAATCAGAGCCGTGGTAGCTCAGATGGTTCGAAATTTTTAATTGCAATTTCAAGTGCTGATTTACCACGTTTTTTTTTACAGGATAGAGTGACAAACGAGCACACAGTCCACCTGATGGTAAGTAGTTACTATGACCCTGATCTATCCTCAATAAAGACACAAGATGCAGATGCGTTGTCACCCGTGAGAACTAAGATGGAATGCTTCTTTGCCAGTAAATAGGGTCTCCGGTTCTCTACACTCACCATACGAAACACAGCAGAGTTAAGCTGCTATTTTACGTTGGTTTTCTGTGAGAACGTGGTCCTTCCCCGGTCGAGCCGACCCATTCGTGCTACAACTATACTAATATAGCTGCAGCATGGCCCTACCACGTAAAAAACGTGGTACGGCGTGAAGAAAAACATCTTAAGGAAACCTGCACGTGTGAGAAATAAGAAAAAAAAAATATTTCGAAAACATGTAATGTTCGCCAACACGCATTGGGACAGCGCGGCGAACATTTTCTTGCCCTAAAACCCTCTCAGAAATGAGAGGAGGCCTGTGCCCAGCAGTGAGACGTATATGGGCTGTAACTTAACTTAACTTTTATTGTAAGCTGTGTAGTGGCGGTGTAAGGGTATCCCCACTATCCCTATATTGTCCCGTGGGCGTCGTAAGAGGCGACAGGAAAGTAAAGCAGGAAATGGGCAGCAGTATCTTTTGTACCGACTTCAAAAAGGAGCCCATACTCAATTCGTCGTTAACGCCGCAAAGGGGCGAACCTCAATTTTTCAAAAATTGTGAAGAGAGCAAGAAAATATTTATTATTCCCGATTTGTAGTTTTCCATTAAGTCTAATATATTTAATTTTCTGATGACAAGAGCTAGTAATCGCGGAATAATAAATATTTTCTTCCTATCCTGTAATATTTGAAAAATTGAGGTTCGCCCCTTTGCGGCGTCAACGACGAATTCGACTACATGTTTGTTTTATGTGTGTTACCTCATAACTTTTTACTGGGTGAACCGATTTCGATGATTCTTTTTTTATTTGAAAGCTGGTGCTTCACATGTAGTCCCATATAAATTTGATCGCGATCTGACCAATATTTATTGAGATATTTTTTAAATAATTTATATTAAAGTCGGTTCTACAAAATTTTTAATTTTAAATCATTTTTAAATAAGGGTGATAAACGAGCACACAATCCACCTGATGACAAGAGGATGCTGTGCCTAGGGTTTCCAGACAGTCGGGATTCGTCTTTATTCTCCCGATAATTTAAATGATCTCCAGACTCCCCACAAAACTCAAAATCTCCAGACAAACAGATTCTTTTCACATCATAGCTGCCTTTGATATAATAAAAGCTGAATTAGTAATTAGACTGAACTTTAAAGTAAATTGTTTGAATTTTAAATCTTTTTGAATATTTACTAAAGGATGCAAGTTGGTGGACTCAGTAATGTCCAATGCCAAATACATATGGCAACCTAAAATTTAAGTGTAAGTACTTAATGTAATTATGTGTCAACAATGTTAAGTCTTTTTGTAGCCTATTAATTTAAAATAAAAATTTATTTTTTATTTTAAATACATTTTTATTTTTATTATTTATTTCTCCAAGACAACAACCCCATAATCCCGACAAATTTAAATTTAGTCCATTAAGAATCGAAACGCAGATGCGTTATCACCCTTGAGGACTAAGATGAAATGCCGCGTACCAGTAAAAAGGGTCTCCAGTTCTCTACACTCACCATGCGAAACACAGCAGCTTTAAGGTGCTATTTCACGCTGGGAATACTAGTGAGAGCATACCCTCTGATAAAAACGATCCTATCTCTCAAGTTGGACCAAAATGCATACAGTGTGCAAAATTTCATTGAAATCAGTTCAGTAGTGAGTCCATCGCGGACAAACAACGTGACGCGTAATTTTTTTATATAAAGATTTATTAGATCAGTGCAGTAGGTCTCTTTATTCATGAAACATCATCATTATCATTACAGCCCTAAGACCACTGCAGAATATAGGCATCCCCAAGGAATACCACTGAGAGACTTACCAGATAATCTCTCTATTTTGTGGAGAACAGCCCTTCACTTCGGTTTCCGGTACAAGGCCGCTACTCGAGGCCTTGTTATTGAATAATAGTTTTTATTTACTGTCCACATGATGGTGAGTAGATTCTGTAGCCCGTAGACATCTGCATCTACATCGTCTTCGATTAAGAACTAAAATGCAGATGCGTTGCCACCCCTCAGGACTAAGTTGTAATGCTTCGTTTGCAGTAAAGAGGGTCGGTACACTCACTATATGAAACACAGCAGCATTAAGCTGCTATTTTACGCTGGTACTCTATGAAAGTGTGGTCCTTCCCCGGTCGAGCTGACCCATTCGTAATACAATCATAATATAGCTGTAGCGTGGCTCTACCTCGTACTAGCTCTATATGAGATTAAAGTTACAAGGCTGCCACTCTTAAAAACTTGTCATTGAATAATATTAATTTATTTTATACCTAATAATATTTAGAAAAACCTAAACAACACACATCGATACTAAGCTGATTATTTTATTTTATCCTGGTGACCCTGATAAGAATACTAAGATACAGTTATTCAATTATTGTATTGTCATCGGTCCTTGATACGTGTGCAAATTTTCAAACCAATCGGCCGTATACAAATTGAAGAAAATGACATTAAAATATTACCTTACATTGATAGATAGATGGATACACGCGAAGCTTATGGAAGCGTGTTAAAACGTATGCAACGCTTAAGTAGTTTAATTTTTATTTTTATTTTATGTTTCAGTCACATCACGCGAACTGCCAGTTGGCTGCCACCGGTTGAAAGTTGGCCAAACATCAGAAATAGCAGTGGACAGGAGGACGATGAAGAACTTCCGTATGGGTGGGAGCAGGCACTGGACAGCAGGGGCAAGCCATATTATATCAAGTAAGATTTGATAATTTATTTACTTGTTTTAAAAGGCCGGCAACGCATCTACAATTCCCGTGGTGTTGCAGTTGTTCATGTACTGTTCTGTTGTTCTTAAAAAAAAGATATTTTAATCTTCATTAGGACTTTTATTGGCGGCATGACTGAATCAACCTATTCTATATCGTCCCGTTGGTGAGGTAAGAGGACAAAGGGAAATAAAATAGGAGATGGGCAGCAGCATCATTATGGTAATAAAAAAACAAAGGCAGCCATAAGGACGGCCGACAGTAGTGAAAACTCAATGATATATGCGCATACATGTTACACATGCCGCTATACTACGCGTAGTGGACATGCTCGTGACGTCACTAGCATGCCGAAGTCTAAAGAAATTTCCACTTCAAAAACTCGTAATAATAAAAATAAAACTGAGGTGTTCAACACGCCTGCCAAGCATTGCAACTATGACAAATATGTGAGATATTGGGGTATCTCAGATATATTGATATGAGGCAATATATTATGAGGGAGGACTATTTTCAGCAGTGGATTTTTCATAGGCTGTAATAAATGAAATCTTTATTACATTCTTCTCATTGAAAGAATACAAAGAACGGACTTAATGAATATAGACATTCTCTACCAGCCACCACATGGATCAATGAAATATAAGTCGTTACTTATATCTTTTATCAGTTGAATATAAAATTAACCTTTTACTTGATTTCCAAGAAAAACAAATGCACAAAAATCAAACATAGTGACACAACTTATGACATGAAAATTGCTAATATATTTCTTCAGGCGCTACCACAGCCTAGTCCAATCTATTCTCTATAGTCTATACTCCATA